ACGCTTTGTCTTCATAATATCACTAGCAATGGCGAAAGGTTGGCATCCTTAAGTATGGCTTGAATATTTTTAGTATACAAAAATAAAACGGTGCTTTATAGTATTTAGCAAGATTTCTACTCGCCGAACCGTTTTTTTTTTTATTAGGAACTTATAGTTTTCAGTGTAAGTAACCATATTTAGTGTTTTGCAATACACACACACACACATATATATATATATATATATATATATATATATATATATATATATATATATATATATATATATAATATGTATATTGGCATTTATTTGATAATCAAAACTAAAAAATACTTCAAATGCGTTTCTTTCATTTACATTATATTTCTAATATATTTTTGGCCAATTTACCAAAAATCAAACAATCAAAACTAAAGAAATAACAATAGACACTCAGTAACAGGTACCCTGTTATAGTTCAAAATATATGGACAAACTGTAAACGGTAAATATTTCAACGCAAAATATAGTAAGTTATAATAATAGTAGAAAGAAAGTTATAATAATCCGCATATGTTTGTGAAACGTGAAAAAGTAGGTTAATCCTATAATAAATGACTATCGAGATGCCGCGGCCGACGCGCCAGCCGCAGCCTCGAGACAAACGCCGGCCCGCACCAATCATCGCCTTCATATTGCTGGAGATTTCTCCTGGATTTTCATAGTTCAAATTTATGTTGAAAGCAATTTTGCAAGCAAATTTTGAAAGCAAGGACAAAATAACACAAAATACTCGTATTCGCTAAGAAACTGTTAATTATATATATATATATAGAATAATACCCGCAAGCGAAGCCTGCATGAAGTAATGGCTAGATTGAAGGGTGGAAAAAGCTATACGGTAGATATTATTGGAGGCTGGCAGAGTATTTACTGCGGTGCTCTCGTCGTTCGCGATCTCATTATTATGTGAAGCGGCTCCCGAAACTTTGAGATGATACAAACGGGCCGGCGGCTCAACTACCTCACTCGCGTGCAATGAGTTTTTTGACGAATGAATAATGAAAAAATGTTGGGTATAGTTCAATTATGAAAGTTAGTTTCATCGCGGTGTTACATTTTTTTGATATAATTTAGACTTATCATTATAATGCAAAATTACAATTAACACAATTAGTCTTGGCAGTATTATATGATCTGTGATCTTGGTAAATTGATTATGTTTACGAAATTAGATTTTAGTAGCTAGTTGTTGTTTTTCAAAGAAAATATAGGTCCTTTTCTTACTGTTTCTTTTTAATTTCTATTAAGTCAGTAATCATTCATATATGGGAATGTTTTTTTGCTTATATATCGTCATTATGTGGTGTTTTTATACATGAAATCATAATAATGCCCCCAAAAATTGCAACTTTGCAACATAAAATCGTATCATTTTAGAGTAGTCTGATCACAGCTCTCCGCGCTATCGCGTTTTAAATTCAGATGATAAGGCTAACAAATTACCGTACTTTGCGCCGCTTACGTCTCCATTTTATGTTGATGACATTTTTATTGCGTACTGAAATATCACACGCCACAGACAAATGAAACAGAATACAAGAATATTTTATAGTGAGTTTTAAGAATAGCGTTCGTAAAGTGCGAGATGAACACTACGGGTGATTCTGCGACTGGCTGGACTTGAGGCGGCGTCACTAATTTTACCACGATCGACCTTTTATCTGATGTTCAATCGAATTATAATAAAACTATGTCCTTATAATATCAATCGAAATATTTTCATCAAACTAAAACAAAAATCTTATTAATAACATTTTGTAATATGGACGGGATGTTATATATACATATCTTATTACATAAAACGCGATGCGAAGCAAAGAATAACAAAAAATAACAAAAAAATATACGAGTGACTTGATTTAAGAGAGAGCAGGTTTTTCCGTTTTAGGAATTATTTCTTTGTATAATGTTAAAATACGAGAATAATATTTTGAGAGCGGACATCTACTGGCAGGTAATATTGAGTGGAGGCAATATCTGTCCACTTTCAGACTGTCGTTTTATTGCTTTCATCTCTCGGATAGCTCGAGACTATTCGTTAACGTGAAATTTTAGAATTTTTCTGTCGTGTAAAAACCAAGCTTTTTGTGTTGTAAAAAAGTTAGTTCCGCATATTATTGCATCAGTAGGTATATTGCAAAAGTACTGTGTTAGAAGTATCCGTATAACTTAGAATACATGAAAATATACTAAGTTTAAATCTATATTATGTAATAATATAATAATAATAAGCGTTTATTTCGGACAAGAAGTCCATACAATCATCAGTATTTTACATTAAGCATAGAACACAGAAAACAGAAATAAAATACTACAAAATTTAACAGGAATAAACAAAGAAAAATAAAAACATTTCACATATAATATAAAATTTCCATGTCACATGTTAGTTACCGTACTCCTCCTAAACGGCTTTACCGATTTTTACCAAATTTTATATGCGTATTCAGTAGGTCTGAGAATCGGCTACTATCTATTTTTCATACCCCTAAGTGATAAGGATAAGGGTGGTCCTCCCAGACCCCACCTCAGGGACGATTCCGAGCGGAGCGAGGGTTAGTCGCTAGTTTTACATATAAAAATATTTAACATTGAATTAAATAAATATGAATCATGTCATTTAAAACCGCATATTTATAATATTAATGAAGAACTTTACAAATGAAGTTACTTTCTATAATATGTATTACTTTCGTAAGTAGCACATACCTCTTTGTCATTTTGGGCCTAAGCTTCCATTGCGTTCTAAGGTTTCTTTCAATAGTACTAACTACTCGTATCTAGATTGACAATCATCCAGCAATCAGTTGAACAATTGGAAAGTTATTTAAGCAAAGATTTTTTTCCAAACAGAGCAAGCATATCAAATATCAATATCGGTTGGTTATTTCAGTCTGGTGGCAGACTAACAAGCAATCGATCCATGCCACCGACCGCACCCGGAGCACCGACCTCCGCACCAATCACTGCGGTCACCTACAGTTTAGGAGTTTTAACTGTATCTATCGTCACATGTTGGAATTGCCATATAGTTTAATAAAAAAAAGACAAAACAAAGTTACTCAATCCATTCAAGCATCAAATATATAATAAAGTCGTAAAGCAAACGTAGTAGCTAATGGTTTAAAATATATCACGTATCTTAAATGAAACACGATGATGAACTCGTTAACTTTAAATTTCTTAATTTTACGCTCCAGCTTAGAGAGAAATGCACAAAATATGCAAAATTTAATGAGCGAAACAAAAAGATATCTACATTTTGCTTCAGCACCGGAGGGACCCTGGAGTTTTCACCTAATTATCAATTTTGATTTAAAAACACAGGCCGCGGCCACTTCGCTTGGTTCATTTAGGTTGACGATCACAAGATAGATATTTACGAGTATAACCTCCACTACACCCAGACACACAGCTACACGAGGTCATCGTGTTATATATTTACTGATAGTTTTATCATTTGAACTGAATGCAAGTTCTAGAATATAAGTATTTTTAAATTTTAGAATGGTAAAAGGAATTTATTAAGTTAGTAAGTCTAAAACTTAAGTGTAAATATTCTAAATTAGAACTAAACTTTTTATACAGTTTTCATAGTAAGGAACTGCGGATAAACATAATCTCGTTTAAATCCTTCCATACAATATAGGCATTCTATAGTTTTGCCATAACCATGTGACATTTTCAAATATTTCATAGTAGACAAAATAATTAAATAACCTAAACAAATTCATAAAAGATTATGTACACCTCGTGTGTAAGAGAGACGTTATCGCGAGGGTGCAGGTGGCGAGAGGTGGCGAGTCATGCTACGTTATGTACGCCGGGAAAAAATTGCTACATTTGTCTCTGTATAGAATAATGCCGTTAGAAATATTTTTTAGTAAAATAAAAAAAAATCTATTTTTGAAGAAAAAATCTCTCGATGTCGATAATTTCGCAGTTTAATATAATTTATGTATTGGCTAAATATATATTCTGTGCCCAGTGTCCACGGAATTTTTGACATTACTACTTTTGAAAGTTCTATTCATGAGTTAGGATATAGAAGATTAAAATCATGGGCGATTTTTATTTTGTGCATCAGTTATTTCTCATATGATAGAACAACATAGTAACATTTAAATAATAATAATTATAATAACTTTTTGACAGTCCCATCCCAGGGCACAGTATTACTCTCAATATGATATTAAGCCAAGTTGGTCAAACGCGCTAGGCAACTAAGGGTTGGTGACGAATACTTTTACGATATTTTAATCACCATAGTAGCAGCCTGTTATGTAGAAAATTATTTGCACATGCCAGACCTGTGTTTGACCCAGCTTCACTTTGATTTCCAAAGGCCCCTCTTCCCTTGGAAACCAGTAAACCATACCGGTGACAGGTGCGCCGGCGACGAGAACAAATATTAAAACCTTCACGGAAAGGTGCTAAGTAAGAATAAATGGAATATTTAATAATATAGTAACAGTAAAATGAAGAAATTTTCAGTCATATTTGCTTTAAAAGGAATAACATTCCAGATTTCACTCTATATTTCCTCGTTTAAAATATACTCTACTGAACTCAAATACAAGTATTTATAGCATTAACCAAATATAAGACTTAGGCCCAACTCTTAGAGACCTCTTAAGAGATTATAATTTGTTTGATGTGAATCATCAGCCCAAATACATCAATGGATTCCTTAAGATTTGTCCCTTCACTGTATTGGCAAGAGGTAATCATGCTGAAAATGATTTCCAAATCTCATCCAGAGAATTAACCCGCTCCACTCGGTATGTCAAGCTAACACGTTATCGCTACCTGCTACCACTGATCTTTTTGTTATATAATATTTTATACATAATATTAATTTATTGATAACTAAAGATAGGAAAAATGAATATACATAGTACAAAAGATCCTGGAAAAGAGCTGATCTGGATATCCGGTTTGATCATGTTCTTTTCTTCTAAAAATTTTAATAAATAATGGATGCAACAAAATCAGATATTATTATTGCTTCTTTTAATTGTCGTTCCATTAAAAGATCTTTAGAACATGTTCGTTCTTTATGTAAAATAAGTGACATACTAGTACTGCAAGAGACATGGTTATTACCACATGATATTGATTTTATCCACCGAGTCGATGAGGACTTTGGATGCTTTGCAAAATCTTCAGTCGACACCTCGACTGGTATTATGCGGGGGCGTCCCTACGGAGGATTAGCGTTATTTTGGCGTAAATCAATTTTCTTAAAAGCAACGATTATTGAATGCTCTAATAACAGACTAGCGGCTATGCGACTGGACTTTGGGGACAATCGTCAATTGCTTATCATAAATGTCTATATGCCAACGGACCAGGATGAAAACTTGTGTGAGTTTACTGCGACTCTTGCTAACATAAAAGCTATAATCGATGATAATGAAATTGAAACCGTTTTTGTGCTAGGTGACTTTAATGCTCATTGTGTATCTCGTTTCGGTGATGAACTAATGTCGTTTTGCGCAGAGCATTCGCTGCTGTGTGTGGACTATGATGTATTAGGTAAGGACTCTAATTCATATACCTATGTGAGTGATATGAACGGTGTGACACGGTGGTTAGACCACTGTATAGGAACTGTGGCGGCGCGTAACATTGTAAATTCTGTGACTATCAGATGCGATGTCGGGTGGTCGGATCATTTTCCTCTTTTAATTTCATGCAAATGTGACGTAGTTGTAAGTAAAATTAATTGTGAGTCTGAAGCGAGTTTAATAAGTAAGATTAAATGGGGCCAACGTAACACAACAAATTAATCTTTATGGTAAGTATTGTAGTGAAAATTTTAAAAAGATATTTTTTTCTAGTCAATGTATTAACTGTGATAATTTAACTTGCACTGAACATTTATACTTAATAGATAAATATTATGATCAAATTATTTTTATTTTACAAAAAGCTTCTGAACTTAGTTTTTCTAATAATAATAAAAAATGTAAAAAGGTGGTAGGTTGGAACTATCATGTTAGTGAAAGCCATAAGATAGCTAGATTTCATTATTCGTGTTGGTTATTAAGTGGCAAACCAACTTCTGGTTCAATTTACAATGAAATGATAAATAGTCGTAAAATTTTTAGAAACAAGCTCAAATGGTGTCAAAATAATAGCGATCAGATTAAAATGAATATTATAGCTACTCATAAAGCAAATAAAGATTTTAAAAAATTCTGGCAGGCAACAAAATGCTCTCAAAATAGATCTCGGCTTCCACAACATGTTGAAGGAATACATGAACCTAAACAAATCGCTGACATGTTTGTAAAAAATTTTAAAGTAGAACCTATGCCTATACAGGGAATACAAAATGAAAATGATTCCTTCTCTTTGGAACAGGAAAATATACAGTTTCTACCTAAAGACGTTGCTAAAGTTATAAAATATATGAAGCGTGGAAAGTCCCCAGGACACGACGGATTGAGCATAGAGCACTTGTATTATGCAAGTCATGAAATAAATAGAGTATTATGTACGTTTTTTAATTTATGTATTAAGTTTAACTATTTGCCTAAAAGTATTATGAGAACTGTAGTTGTGCCTGTTCCAAAGAATAAAACTGGTCATCTAACTAAACTAAGTAATTATAGGCCTATTTCACTAGGTTGTATAATTGGTAAAATATTTGAGAGACTATTACATCCGCATATTGCGGAGAATGTAACATTAAATGATGCTCAGTTTGGTTTTCGTCCCAGTGTTTCAACAGAATCAGCAATCTTTAGTCTTAAAAATACAATAAAATATTACACAAGTAGAGATACTAACGTATATGCCTGTTTTTTAGACCTTAGCCGGGCTTTCGATTTGGTAAACTATAAACTATTGTGGTCAAAACTAAATAAATACAAAGTTCCGGTAAGTGCTATTAAATTATTGAAATATTGGTACGAAAACCAAACGAATAATGTGAGATGGGGCGACGCACTCTCTAACGACTATAGGCTAGAGTGTGGCGTTCGTCAAGGTGGGCTTACATCACCGGATCTTTTTAATGTTTATGTAAATAATCTGATAGAGGAACTGAGAAGCACAAACGTTGGCTGTCACGTCGGTGGTGTGTGCATAAATAATTTAAGTTATGCCGATGATATGGTGCTACTCAGTCCCTCTATCGGTGGTCTTAGACAACTATTAAGTATTTGTGAAAAATACGCTTTAAGTCATGGACTTAAATACGATGTGTCTAAAACTGAATTTATGGTTTTTAAGAGTAGAAGGGGTCCGGACGTGGTGCCCTCTATATTTATTGACGGTAAACCAATCCTAAGAGTGTCAACATTCAAGTATCTGGGCCATTTGTTAACGGAGAATCTCCAAGATGACAGTGATATAGAACGTGAGCGTCGAGCCCTTGCTGTGAGATGTAACATGATTGCGCGCAGGTTTTCTCGTTGTAACCAGGACGTAAAAACTACTCTGTTTAAAACATACTGTCAGAATTTATATACATGTCAACTGTGGTTCAATTATACGAGGCACGCGTACAGCACCATCAGAGTACAGTACAATGATGCTTACCGGACTTTGATGAATTTACCGAGGTTCTGTAGCGCATCTGATATGTTTGCTTCAGCCAGGATACCAGATTTTTTTGCGGTGGTCCGTTCCAGAATTGCTGCATTCTGGGATCGACTACGTAACTCTAATAATGAGATTCTACGTGTAATGGGCGAGTACTTGAGTGTTGACTTTCTCAGGCATTGGTTGACACAACAATGCGGTAGAAATAAAAAGTAGGTAATAGTATTTTGATGTTTTTATGTATATATTCTATCATAATTTTATTGTAACTATATTGTAGACATTTTATATTGGCGAATAAGCCTGAAATAAAAACATTTATTATTATTATTATTATTATTTTGGATGAATATAGAGAACTTCAAAGAAATCTAACATTAATATGGGTATTTCGAGGTAATGGCTTGGAATGTGTATTTATTTATTCATTTATTAATTTATTTTTTATCAAATAGGGTTCTCAACTAGGCAAACAATGTTATAGATTTTATAATAAATTAAATAACACAATAATAGTATAAAATACTATTATATAGTAAAAGCTACTCTGATTACAGCAACCTTTTTTGTGTGAGCAACACACAAAAAGGGACTCACTTATACATTATATATGAAACATAATAAAAACTTAAAAAAAACCGACTTCCAGGCACTAAAATGTAAAAAATAACTAAAAGGAGGTTTTCATTTAGAATAGATACCTAATCAGATATTTTCGAAGTCGGTACCAGCCGACAATATTTTAATTTAAGATATGAATATCTAATAGGTAAATATGTATTTTACGTATCAAAATATATTAGATTTGCTTTGCATCAGCTGGCACGGACTTCGAAAATATCTGATTACGTATCTATTCTAAATGAAAACCTTCTTTTAGTTATTTTTTACATTTTAATGCCTGAAAGTCGGTTTTTATTTATTTTTTTTTAAGTTTTTGTACATGTGCAGGTATTTCAATTTCAAGTTAGAGATAAACGACTTAAACATGAAATAATGTTAATGGTTTCAATGAAATAGTATTGGTTGCTTGTTTAAATATCTTATAGGGTAAGCTTCGTGGTCCTTGGGCTGTGGGTGGTGGGGAGGGAGGGGGTGACGCCGCGCCACGCAGTAGCGGCGGAGGAGAAAGGTCCAAGTTATTTATGTGGAGGCCGACGCGGGCCGATGTTATACAAACGTTTACTTAGGATGCTGTATTTGTTTTAACGACTCGCCATAAAGTGTTCACTTTGCTTTCGATTTTATTATTGAAATTAAACATTATGAAAGCAATCATCTTTGGGTCACAAGTTATTTATCTAAATTATATGAAAGGTGAGCTATGTAAAATATTATTAATGATAACTTTTTAAAACTATGTTATAATATGAATGACAGAAAAATATTTGTGAGTATATAAATATAATGTAATAGAATATATTTTAAATAAACAAAATCACATTTCATAATATATTGTAATACATGAAATCCCAGTTTTATTCATAGTACATGCCCCAACAAGCGAACATTACTGCGGCGAGCACGTACGGAGGCTTTGAAGGCATTTACATTGTACGAGCGCGAGGACACAATATGTTAGTGGAATAAAAACTATGCAAACGCATTGGGTCCAAAAATTAAATAGCTTTATTTGGTTTTATTGCACAAACATTATGACAGTATTTTTTAAACTTTGTAACTATTTATGAACAGATATCATCGAGCTGTACTGGGACGTGAAGGACCGTTCCCTATTAAAATCACAAAAGATTTTCTTTTCTTATTTTATACTATGCTCTAAATATTAGTTATCTGTCATCTTATGAAAGTACGAAATATAAAAGGTATTAATATACCTTTTATATTTCATACTTTAATAAGTACTTATAATATTATACTCGTAATGTCCTCGATGCCGTGTGATGGCTGTGAATGTGAACCAAACAACAATAATGTAAGAGTAAGCTCAAGTATAAATAATGTTTTTTGTAAACTTAGTTTTGCATGAATAAAGTTATATTTTGTAAAGCCTCGTACCGTCATTATCAGTAGTTGGGCGGTTTTTGTAGGACTCTATCCTAACCCTTTCAACGACCCTCCGATATTGTTCGCCTTATATTAAAGAATGAATAATGTCTCACATTCTGCGGCACTCTCCCGCTTTATTAAGCGATGCCACGTTTTATCAGCTGTCGGATACCAGATAAAATACTTCTTTCACAATGTTACCGCATTTATTAAATGGAAGGTTTTAGAATATCGATGTTTCCAAATAATATACTCGTAGATAGGAGCTAAACTCAGAAATACATAATATCCTCCATGTTTTTAGAATTTATTTGTGTTCCTTTTTTATTTTAACAAGAGTTCAAGACAAAATTAAATTATAACTACATAAAACGAAAAAGTTGTTTTTTTCATATGTTTTTTACTTTCTCTGCGAGCAAAAAGAATGTGACCAATCATATCTGTATACGTGTACAACGATCCCGATACCTTCGACATGGTAAGTAGACGTATCATACTACATTATAAAGATAGGCAAACTACCTACGATCACACAATTTTACATTTAATTATGATTCATTCTAAAAGTTATCTCAATATAAAACTTTTACTATAAGCTTTCTAAAATAAACTTCTCTGTATTAAAATTTAAAATAATGGTAAAAGCTGCATCACCTTAACCTTTACATACAGCTAGAAACTTGGAACAGGGATAGTTTAGTGAACCATCACATTTACATTTATATAGAAAGCTAATAAATTATTTGGTAGTGCAGTACATATCCTTTAAAAATACAAAAAAAAAATTATACTCCACGTTAAGAAATAGAGACAAATATAGTTAATATTTATTTATAGAGAGTTAACGCAATGTGAGACGAGAAAAGCAAGTATATACTAATCCATGCAGTCGTCTAACGAAGTACAAGGTGAGAGATGCGGTAACGACTGCTATACAGCGCTACGAGATGGCACTACAGCAATTTAACTTCGAGACCTTTCGACATGACACTTAATATAATATTTTGTAATAGCCTTTGTATTTGACAGTTAGCTTTTCCGTTAAAATCAATGAGCGATCGCCTACTGTACGGGATTTTTACTGTGGTATTGTCTAGGCGCAGATAGTATGAAAAAGCGTAGTACACAACGTATCAGAAATATTCTAAAGATTCCTAAATTACTTTGCTGATTACATTAGAAATAGCTCATGTACATATAAATTGTTACTATATTTATATTATTTTTTTAATTTTTACCTATTTATACGTATTAATTAAAACAATATTTGAGCTCGTATCAAGAACACCACCCTGAGCGTAGTACCCGCTTCCCGCCTTTAAGTTGGTTGACGAACATTGCGGGAGTCAGGAAACGGGAGGGGGCCGAGATAAGAAAACAGCGTTATGGCTTTAGCGATTACCGAAGGGTTATCTGACGTGTAGCGTGTAACCGTCGTGTCCCAGCGCTTTATTACTCTCTACATGTCAAGATTGTGACATCATCCCGGCCAAATGAATCTTTGTTAAAGAAAGATTGTGGGATATCGTAATATTACAATACTTTGTGTGTCATAAGTTAAAAGCGACCCACAACTACCAAAAGAGAAACATATAGTAAAACAAAAATATCTTTAAAGTTCAGTGACCCCAAGTTAAAAATGAACTTTAATCCTTGAGCGTTAGGTCTCGCTGTTGCGTACAAAGCTGCGGTCAAACACTAGCGGAGATTTAAGAGTTTGTATGTATACAGTATAATTAATGTCGTCGAGTTCTAAGCAAGTTATCTACTCCGGGGCACGTTTCAGTGCTTACTGGGTCCTCTCGGGACGTTCACGCACGCTTTATGTGCCTATTTCTATTTATATTCATAATAAAAAGAAACTTGTTAGACTTAAATAAAGTTTCTTGAATAAAAATTTATTTTTCCCTAGCGACTTTCATCCTTGCTTCGATAAGGTTTCCCTTTCTCTATGACGTCTCTACTAGATTCATTAGTCGATTTTTAGGATGAAATGTGATCGATTATCATGTAATTATGAAATAAATTCAATATGGAAAGAGTGCATTTCATTTTTTAAATATATTCAATGATCACTTATTACGTATGCGTGTTCAGTACAATAATGCATTCAGGATGCTGATGGGACTGCCTCGTTGGTGCAGCGCGTCGGGTATGTTCGCCGAAGCGCACGTAGATTGTTTCTACGCTATCATGCGCAAACGGTGCACATTCCTGGCGCGCAGGGTTCGGGCCAGTTCCAATAGCATCCTGAGGGCATTTGCTGACAGGTTCGATTGTCAGTATTTGAACCATTGCCAAATGGTGTACATGCTGACAAATCGAGTCTGTCTTAGATAAGGTTTAGGATTAAGTAGGTTAAATGTGTACTAACATTAGGTTACAGTGTGTCTTTACTAACAAAATATGATCCTTGAAGGTTGAAATAAATGATATTATTATTATTATTATTATTATTAAGTAACTAGGAAAGAATAAGAAAAGCACAAACAGTTTTATCCCAAGGGAACCATTCATTTTTCCGGTATACAAAGTAACCTGTTGTTTGACCGGCGATATAAGGTATCAGCATGCCAAATTTTACTAAATTAGGTGCAAACTTGTTGTGTACTAAGCTGTATAAGTTACTATAGTTTTTTAGCTATCCCACGGGAACTATTTAATTTTCCGGGACGAAAAGTATCTGAAATGTTGACCGGGGATATAAGGTATCATCATGCAAAATTTCATTTAAATCGGTGGAACAGTTTCGGATATTAGCCCGTACAAACAGACAGACGGACCAGAGAAACAAAAAAAATGAAAAAAGTGTTTCAGAGATTATCCGGAACAAACAGAGAGACAGACAAAAATTTAAAAAAATGAGTTTTTTTTAATAAATACCGTATATAATTTCAATGCTAGAAAACGCTGTTATTTTGACATTACAAACTTCAATTTTATTTATCTGTATTGATAGATTGGATATACTCCTACAAGTTCTTGATTTAAAAATTAATATGCGAAATCTCCACACACGTATATACATTTTTATAAGAACTAAAACTTTTACTTATAACATTACAAAAGAGCATCTGTATGGTAGGACAACATACGTACTACTTTATTTATTAAGTTAGCGTTAAAGAAGCTACAACAGGGTACCTACAGTCCCTCCCCGATGTGCGTTCATATTGTAGTATAGTATCGTAGTAGGGGGGCCCTTCTGGCAATCCAGCCGGGCGCGAAACCAAGAAACGTACTGGGAGGTCGCCGCCCACTATGGTGGACGGTGTGCCCTGCGAGAGAGAAAACCGTTGGAGCAACCTTGTTTGGCCTGCCGTCGAGGCATCGTGCTTGGCCGCATAAGTGATCCTGCGACGGCACATTAAGACGGGGGAGGTTCATTTAGGTTTAGTAGGTAGTACCGGTGAGTCCCACATAACTACTTGTACGCAGGTGGTATGCGTAAATGCCTTTCCCAACATTATAAAAAGGATAGATACGGTCGGTAATCGTTAGAATCCCTCTACTGTACTGGTAATATCTTTAAAAGTTCGCGCCATTGGGGTCGAGGCTGCAGCGGTCGACGAAGTATAAATATCCAACACATGTTCTCAATACTCGCACGAAACGGTATATTGAAGCGATAAATCACAATATCGGGTCTCGCTGACAAATCCTCGGCAAAACTGGTTGTACGTAAAATACTTTAAACATTTATTTTCTTAAACATGACGTATTATACGTCCATAAATTAGGGAAGTCTAACATCAAATATTAGTATTCGTATTATACATAAATAATAATATATTAATCTAATATTATGATTAACGTACACACGGAGAGTCGCGGTCTCGATCGGTTCAAGTCTATATATTATAATCTTCAGTTTTTATTTCATAGTAAACGAACCGAGTAACATTTCATTACTCAATAATAGCCTTGAGCTGCGACAAAAGGTCATTCAGATAGTCATTGAGGAATAACAATTAAAAAAATATATATAAGAATGATTGCCATAATTGTGACATGACGATTAAATTTCTATTTTCAATAGAATTTAAAGTTATTTAGTCATATTAAAGTTTATATTCTATGTAGACTGGCACCCAGTCTTAGCCCCCTTATTTAATTAATATTTGAATACTAAGTACTTGGACATTTCTCATATATAAATAGAAAAGGTATAATTACTAAAAAATGTTGTAGGTTTATTACAATGAGCTCTTTTCAGAGCGCTTGTTTAAACCTTTTTTCTAATATTTTTTTTTATTTTAATACTCCTATTTGAGAACAAAGTTCGCAGAAGTGCTGGTGTGAAAGTGTCTGATAAAGCTGAGTATTTAATCCCATTCGAAGTTTGTTGCTTGCTACAATTCTTGAGGTCCTTTAATTAGCAGTATTGAGCTGGTCTTTACGAGATTCTAAAGTGGACTTTCATTATATATATATATATATATATATATATATATATATATATATATATATATATATATATATATATGTATATATATAATATATATGTATATATATATATAATATAATAAATATTAAGCAATGATTATAACAGTTATTATTATGGGTCTGCATGTTATAGGTTTATCACGATTTATAGAACTGTTTCTAGTTTAACCTTTCAAAACACGCGGACCCACAGGTGGCTCGGTTAACAATAAATTTCTTAGAATTTAACCGCGAGGTGTTAATTAAAATCACACTTTTTATCTAATGATGTCTATGATCAGTAAGATATTTTGTATGATCTACAAACATACATATATTATTATGCATGACTTCCACTGTCCGTATATGTATGTACATATTTATCAAAAAAACTGCATCGAATAACATCTAGAACTAGACTAGTCAGCACTACGGTTAGGAGTTTAAATTTAGTCGTGAGCAAATGACAGTTTAGCACATCGTATCCGGCGGAGTTGGCCGGCGGCGCTCGTTAGCAACCAGCGCTGGCGCGTGGCCCCTCGTTCTCGTCGATAACAGTCATTACTACTTATAGCTCTGCCGTAGCAGCGTAGCGTCGTAGCATCGTAGCAGCGTAGCAGCGTAGCAGCATCGTAGCGACGTAGTTGGCGGCTAGCAATTGTACATTTTATCGTCGTTGTGGCAATGAATAGAATAACTAGAACTATCTTCACTTGAAATCTATGACCTTATATATTGGAGAAGTGAAAGCATATTCGTTGGTTTGTTTCCCTTTCATGCAGTAACGGTAACTAACTGTAACTATTTGAAGATATCGAGTATATATTATAATATACCCTTGTATGTTTTGTTTGTATTTAAAATTGTAAATAAACTTATATTATATGCAAGCAAAATGCGCAAAGTATTATTATATTATTATAAATTTTATCTGTGGTAGGACTCTGTCAAGCCTGAGAAGTCCGACTGGATGGGTACCGCCCCCTTATCTATCTTGTTGTGTTCCGGTTTGAAGGATAAGGTAGCCAGCGCAGTTACAGACATATCATCTTAGTCCTCACAGTGACAACGCATTCTGAATTTTTGTAACATAAAACCTAAGTGCATGAACCGTAGGTGTTATGGGCGACAGGTACCGCTTTCCATCAGGTAGGCTGTCTGCTCGTTTGTCACTGAATATAATATATAAGAATATTTATTTATTATAATAATAATAGATGTTAGACCTGTATAGAACAGTGGTCGCTATATACACTACAATATACTAGATCTTCTAAAATGAGAAAATTAGATATATTTTGAACAAAAATTACAAGGTCTATGTTATCTTCTTAATATTCTTAAGCTTATTTTCTTGTAAAATGTACTATTTTTAAAATAATGTAAACCTTGCCAAGGAGACATATGGTAATGTTTTGTCGTGATTTATTTACATACACGAGACAGAATGATTTACTTTGGCCTTTCAAAGTGCACTTACAATTGTTTACATGCTGAAGTCAACAAGCCATATATGAATTCTTATGCAACAAATATGTATATCATGTTATGAAAAATTATATAAATTTAATTTTTAAACTCGTCTTCTCAATATAGCTTCACTGTATACTTTACTCCAAGCAATGTTCAATTTAAAAAGACGCATGTATTACTGTAACTTCATGTTGTGATATAATATCTGAAATAAAGTTGTCTAGATGTATGATCAATATAAATACTGACATTGAGCAAATGTCAAATTTGTGGACTAAATACGAGTCTTGTGACTTTTTTATTTATAAAAAATATACCGACTTTTAGATACTAAAAAGTCTATAATAGACAATAAAAAAACCTATTTATAGACATCAAAAATTAAAAGTAAGTGAACGGTTGTTTTCATTGACTATACTAAACCCCATCAGATATTTTCCAATTTAGTGCACAACATTATTATACAAATATGAAACGTTTTTATATGTAGTACAACCAACCAATAATAACCAATTTCCAAAGCATTCGAAACGTCAGGAACCAAAAATCAAATTAAATCAGCGAAATAATCCGAAAAGATTATTTAAAATTTAAGAAATTATTAAATAATAACCAATTTAAAAAAAAAAACAATCACAATATTATATGTTCCTACATCATTTTTATTGCTTGTAGTATTTTTCCTAGTTTTGAAAATGAAATAATAAAAACTTTTTTTTAGAATATTAATGTTTTTTATAAATCGTTACTTTGTCTTTCTGTTTCTGTTATATCTAATGCGCAGTTGTATCAAAGTACTTACACATACATACATATACTGTCACAAATGTTAGCCCTTGTTAGTATTAAGTAAGTCACACATTCGAAACTTTAAGGCGGCCGGATCTCTTCTGCTAACGTTAGACGTCTCGTCGGAATTAACATGTAAATACTTTAGCGGTTTAATACATATATTACATTTGTCTTAAGTCATTATTACTCTAGTCTATCAAAGTTACTTAGTATTTTCTGATATGATGAATTTATCTTCACTCATGTGGGCTAAAGTAAATATTTACTACGCAAAAACAATAATGAGATAGTTAAGAACGCTTAATATAAATAGTACATGAACTTAATGTACCTGAAAGAAAGAAAAAGAAAAACATTAAATAAACACTCTAATATATAATCGATCGATTAACACGCGTTTTTATAACAAAACTACTTCAATTAGGAAAAAATAAAATGCTCCAATACAATAATAAAGGTTCAGCAATGTATGTACATACATATTATGTTAATAATTGTGCCTTTTTCACGCTCTTAGAATAAGAATAAAAAAAAAAATTCTATCTTATCTGATTGTAGGTGGATATTATTGTAGTAGTATACTTTTTGACTCAGTCATTTTATACTTATTTAACATTACTGGTGTCCGCTAAGTGGTCTAAATTCTACCATTATGGAAAATTTTAGGAAAACATATGAATAGAATTTACCTAATTACCTATATAAAAAAATAACTGATGTCTAAATTTCTTTATTGATACGAGTAACATACTGAAAACTAATTAATCAAAAAAAAAACAGTTGACAAACGGTACTAAACTGTTTTGTCTTTGTCTATTTATTAATAGATTCTATCATTAGCAATATGTTAAAAAATCTATCATTTCAAAATACTGAAACAGTTTTATTATACACTAGCCGTCACCCGTCTGTATACTCGTAGCAATACACTACTACGGGCGGAAGTAAAATGTTTCTTTTGGTCTTCAAAGAGGGTTTCGACTTATACATGAAATATTTAAGTTCAAAAAACAAATAATGAAAAAAAGTTTCATATCTTTTCTTTTTAATGCTGGGATAATATTTATGAAAGTAAATCAACAAAAAAATGGTGAAGAGTGTATGCATTTCAAAAAATAAATACCTTTAACCATCTACAGACAATCCCGCGTCGATTGGTCAAAGTCTCACACCGTACGTTCAGTTTTTACGTGATGGCGTGACAAAGAAAAATTGTTTTCATTATATACATATCATTACCATTGCCTGTACGTCTGTTTGTCTGTTTTTCTGTTTGTCTATTTGTATAGGCTAATCTCCGAAACTGTAGGACCGATTTAAATGAAATTTTGCATTTTGATAGATTTGTTTTTGTTTGTTCTATTTCTCTTCTAACATCCCTCTGACACGGTTTTTAGCATTTTTTTTATGTACAGACATTCGACCTTTACAGTTTAATTAAAGTATAGATAGATATAAACACCCATGACTGTAGTACAAACATTTGTGCTCATCTCACAAATGAATGCCCCCAGCGGGACTCGAACCCGTGACCGCTTGCACAGAAAGTAGAGACACTAAGAACTGAGCTAAACGTGTGTATATTGTCTAAATACGCCTTAGAAGTATGTTTACTTCTTTGAAGTAACACAATACGGTGTGAACCAAGTAACTTTATTACTCTGCAATAACGAAATTTACATATTGCAATACAAAGTCCAGTCCAGTAGAGTGGCTGTGTGTAGGGTAATGCGTGATAATGCACATTTAGCTGCAACCTGATATGATATAAACTGACAGTACCACTCAGTAATGCATTGGATAAATAACATTTACATATGTATACATAAATAGATAAGTGTGGTTATTTGCTTGTCATACCCTTGTAATGAAAAAATACAACGGCCTGGCATTTATTGGTCGGAGTCACATTGGTTACACTATTTTCCCACCGCGTGAAGTAGTCCCCTGAGATACCAGTATTTCAAATGATTAGTAAAGGACGCGACAGGTGTAGTGAGGATCTATCTATGTAAGTGAGAGCGGGTCTCTAGTTCATAGTGCATTATTTTCTAACTAAATTATGTCATTCAATTAAAGGCTATCTGCACTTTGCAAGCAATTACTCTCACTCTCATAGAATGTACCACAGATATATAAAGTGTTTATTATAAAAAGCTATGCATATTTATAATCCATAAATATAATAAAAGTATAACTAAGCCGAATCTGTACATTCAATATTTTTTGCAAAACCTTATTGAAATAAACATCATTATCGATACAGAGGCCGTATCTATAGTTTTTAGAATTTTTGTCTGTCTGTCTGTTACCGCATCACAGAAAAACCACTGGAGGGATTTTGACGACATTCGGTATGGTGATAGCTAGTAAACCGGGTCAACATATAGGATACTTTTTACCACGGGAAAATATCTCATTTCTGAGAAAAAACACAAAAACTGCATTGCAAGAGTATACTAATATGTAAAACCTAAAAATTTGGTTTTTGGTCATCTGAACGCGGGCGGAGACGCGGGCAATGCTATTTATGTAATATTATAATACTTAATATAATTTTTAATCGGTCTCTTTTATTAAGACACACTTTTTGTTCTTACGCAGTTATCTACAGCAGGTACTTGCGTAAGCGGAGTTGTGGGCAAAAATAGCTATAAGTCGTATAGAAGCAAAGTCGATAAATCCGCGCCGCTCGTCCAACGACCAATTATTTGCTCTCCACTTCGCCGATGAAACTCTAGAAGCGTCCATCCTCATCAAAATGTGAATACGCTTTTAATGGGTATATCATGTTTGCTGGCGAAGTATTATAAAGCGTAAAATATCAATAGTTTTATCACGGAGCTGATATTACGCGACGTGTAATGGAATCTAATGCGTGGCATCTATGACAGGAAACTGTTTGCATGTACCTACATATGTTTATAGTAAATGCAATAGAATATTTCTTTATTGACACAATTTTAGGTTGCAACAAAAGCCTATTGAAGCCTATGACTCCCAACTAGATAAAACCTGTAAATCTCATCTCATCTTTAATCATAAGTACACTTCAATAATATTACAGAGCATGTTTAACAATAATAATTTTACTTATTAATAGTAAAAAAATTACAGCTTTGTAAATTTACATAATATCTAAAAAAACTGCCTTAAATAATTACTTTCAAAGGTGTAAAAAGAAACATTCGACCCACGTCTCGTTTTAATATTAAAGGGGGAAGGAAAGCGATAGGACGCCTTTTCTTTCACATGGACTTTTATATTATAATAAACTTTAGTACAATATTTTATAAAACTTGTTTCTTAATTCTGCACCTGACATTATATAAAGCGGGTAAAAAGCAACATTTTAGACTAAAGTTGAAACTTATAAATATTTAATTTGTAATGTTTAAAACAGCGATAAAACAAGATGAGAAACTTTTGTGTTCGCTGGAGAAGACGAACTTGTGAAAAACCGCAAGAGCGACGGCAAGCTTTGTCTACTTATATTAATTAATATATCTACGAGTATATAAGAAAATTATTGTCTTCACGAGACAATGTAATATTTCTAGTTGTTATAAGCACAATGAAATATTTTGAGTTAAGTAATGTTCGTAGCCACGATGTTTCAGTTCACAGATCCGATATAATTATATATGTATGTATATGTTCTGTGACAAACTATGTTTAATCAAGTTATAATTTCTATGCTTAGTTAAGTTCGCAACTGAAATGTCAGCAAACATACATTTATGTTAATAATTAAAGTAAATATTATTATGATAATAACATTATTGAGATGCGGGTCTACGAAACGTGGAACTAGTAGGGAGCTTTTTACCTTTATTGGATTAGTGAGTATGATTAATAATTACAAATTTTCGAGTACAATACTCCACTTGTGATAGTGACTTCCATATTTTCTATCATCAGACCATGGGTACGAGTAATAATATAATATTTGTAATATCACCTAAATGATGTAGTAATTACTAAGTCTCAGCTTAAGGGATGCCAATTACTGCTAGGAAAATGAATTACAAATTTTATTTATATTATAAGTGCTTGGAAAAATCCTACTGAATAAAGTATGTTTCTATTTCGTATTTAAATCCCGATGGACAGACAACGAATAAAATCGTAAAATATTAACTCGCAAAAAGTTATATAAAAGCTTTAAAATAATTCTAACGCCCGCAAATACCGGGTCGTGCACCGCGGTGAGAGAAATTGAAACTAATTTTAACAAACATTATAATATACTATACAATACTAAAAGTTTATAAATTTCGTTCACTTTAAACAAATAGCGAAGGCCTTTGAAACGGCATTTCCTTTGACCGCGCCGTATGCAGTTGAATGTTTAGCGAAGTGCGGTCGGTCGCTGCGGCGCGACCTTTTCTTTCCACACTAGTGTGCAACCACCTCGCGGTAATTACTCGTGCGATTAAATTGCACAGGTTTTCGTTAGAATTGACCATTAATATAACTGTTTCTGAACATTAAAATTTTAGTGAACCTCCACCTTTCATTCTAATGGAACCATAAATGTATGAAGAGGCTGTTACCAGACTTACATATTTTGATGCAAAAATTAACTAAATTTTGAGCAGTAGTGGTGAATAAAATATTAAAAAATATATACAAGTACCTCGTGACTCATCCTTATATGCTAGCCATATTACCAAGCCATTAATGTTATAGCTGAAAATGGGCAAAGCCACTGTTTTTGGTGTCCATACGCTTTTATCACATATTTGTTTTAAAACTATATATTTTATTGAAATGGACGCTGATAACTCAAAATTAATATTATGTTGCATTTTTTTTAATACTATTCTATGTCTATGTATATATCGAAATATTTAAGCGTTTTAAGCAAATTAATTAATAATTAATTTAATATGTGTTCTAATAAGAATATTAAATAACATTTGCCGTCCGTAAAGTAAAATGAAATTACTTTATAAGCTTACAAATATAACATTAGCATGTCAGCTGTTAGTTTTAAGTATAAGTCGCGTGCGAGCGGTGTGGGCTTTTTGGGCATGTGGGCGGTAATAAATAAACAGATTATGCAGAGCACGGTCCAGTGCAGATAGCAGCTTCCCGAGATTCCTTCACGAGCGGTTGCATCGCTCACCCGCGTCGTCCGCACGCGATTTTCTGTCTCACTGGCCTTTATTGCTGATGCAGGATGTGGTGGCTCTTTGACCGCAGCGATTTATATTTGGTGACTCATATTACGGAGTATATATCGCTCCGTCTGAGAAAAATGGGACTTTTATTATTTAAAGAATTGTCTAAATCTTGTAAATGTAAATGAATTATAAATGCGAAAGTGTGTTTGTTGGTTCGTCTTTTTTTAAAGCAAGCATATTTATTGACGGGGAAAGATTGGGGTCGTTTCCAAATGCTCATTTAAATACGCGATCAAGATCTCGAAACTCATTGGTGTATAGAAAAATGTAGTATATGTAGTATATATAGTTTATCGAATTTGTTATTGTTTTGTGTAACACATATCATGTGTACATCGTGTATATGGGACGTGGCCTCTGGAGAAGTGGGTGGTATTTTTGGATAGGGAAGGTGATAGAGATTCCAAATATATAAAAATTATTTGAGAAAACAAAAGAGTCAAAAGTTATTAAGACTTAAAGTTAAAACATTTCCATACATTCTTTAGATATTACTGACATTTAGACACTTGGAAATATGAAAATGTCACTTTCAATTGTCAAAATGATCTCCAGATAATGAGTCAGATCTATCACCGAATTTTAAATGAACGTAAAGCACTTATAATAGCAAGGGTTCTGGGTTTGAAATAAAAATAGGAAATGCATAGTTTTTTTTATGATTTTTTAAAAATCTTATTTTCATATTATGTTTTGTTGTGTTTTTAATTATGCTTTGCGTGAAATTCGAATTTTCGAGTTTTCTAGTCATATAATAATGGCGTTGTGGTAACTGTTCTAACATAACCTAACCAAGATATGAGGAATAATAAATAAATAACCTAAGTCATAAACTAACCACGATGTCGCAAAATAAACACCAAGAGTAAATAAATAATACACTTAGATTTTAAAAATAGTCTACTCACGTTTATAAACTGTATTAATATAATCTGTTGTCATTTAAGCGATAATGTAAAACAGAAATTGACAGTTGTCAAAATGTAAGATCATTTTGTTTACAGTAGGTGCTGTTGTGAAATTATTAAAAAATTAAGTACAATTAAAGCCTTAATTATTGTGGAAATATATATTGTACATAAAAAAGGATGTTTACTATTCGTTAAAGGTATGTTTATCTTTTGTAATTACATAGTTAGGTAAAGAAATGTATGGAAATGTATTAGATATGTTGTAACTTTAAGTCTCTATAACTTTTTACTCCTACGTTTCCTCAAAATATTTTTTATATATTTTTACTCTCTGTCACCTGCCCTATCTAAAAATATCACCCACTCCGCTAGGGGACCCGTCCTATATACTAAACTTTAACTGGAGTACAAACATTCGCGCTTATCACACAAATTAATGTACCCAGCGGGACTTGAACTCACGACCGCTGGCACAGCAAGTAGGGTCATTACAAACTGAGCCAAACGTGTATTCATTTTCATTCATACCAAACCCAAGAAAGGTCTACGACGAAATATTTAATTATATATATTTAATATCATTTAATATCAATTGAATTCTGTTAAATTGTAACTAAACTTATTCAAAAAAAGTTGTGTATCGTAAAAAAATATGATTTAAAAAAAAACCTCACATCACAGCGCCCGCTTTTTAATAAATAACACTACATAAGTGCACTCGGCGAGAACACGCATTAGCTTATTGCTAAATGATCAACTGAACTGTGACTAGCTAATGAAAGTTAACTGGCGGCGGCGTACCGCCGCGCCTCGCGCTCGGACGTCGTTGTAAGACCACGCGATATTAGACGGAGTTATCCATTGTTCGAGAAACCTTAAAGGATACAATTTTCTCTCACGAGCTTGGCCTTTGTGAAGCACACAAAGCCGACTATTACAGCTTTCTTCCTTTCAAATCTAATTTGGCTTTCTACGTACATAATAGACGTTAATGTGATAAACCTAGTTTAATTTATCTTGTTCTACGTATTGCAGCAGTATTCGTACCAGTGCGTTTAATTGTGTGCGTTTAATACTACAAACTTTCCTCTCAACGTATAAAAGTAAGTTGTGGTGTATTTGTCTTTCAAGAATTGCTTTTATTAAGCATCTTTAATAAAATATCTTCTTCTCCCTCCCCATTTCCCAATCACTTGGGGTCGGCGCAGTACATCTTCTGTACTGCTGATAGGATTTGGCAAAAGTTTAACGACCGGCCGCCTGCCTAACGTCAACTCTCCTTGGGAATGCTATTGTTTATCGCGGAAGTCTTGTAATATGCATATTCGATTTTGTTTTCTTTTAAAGCATTTTTTTATACTATTACTCAAAGTTTCTAATGTTATTTTGCGGATATATTTTGAAATAAATTTAGTTTTGACGTTGTCAAATTTTTTCTAATTTTCTAATCTCAAAAAAAAAAAAGTTAAAAAATTAAGAATAGTCAAGCCAATAAAACTCGTACATATCAAAGCTATATTTGAAGAAAACCAATTTCATAGCGTACCTAACAAAACGATAAGGAGTCTTGGCGAAAATCTTTGAATGTGCAAAATATAGGTTTGTAGAAAAGCCCGCGGATGGCGTCCGGTCCCCGCGCGCCGCTTTATCT